AAAGATAGAAACCAATTTAGTGCAGTTTGTGAGGTTTTAGTGAGAAATTATTTCCTAAATATCCAATTACTAGTTCAGTATAAGCTTATAATAGGTAGATGAATACATTTAATTTGCTATGATTACAGTCTTGTTTAAGCTGGTCAACTGCTTGTAAAATGAAACAATTTTTTAAAAAGTAGTACAAAAGGATTCCTGTGACACAAACGTGATCCTTTCCTAATCCATTTTACCCTTATTGTTCAATTTTAGCTTAGATGATCCTCCTTGTGAAGGGCTGACACACAATTAATCATCATTCTACATCAGCCCACATTACTTTATAGGCAAGGGATTGCCCATATAAGAAGAAAAAACAAATTAGACATGTCTAAAGTAATTGGTACTACGAAGAAACAACTAAACTCATTTAATGATCCCCTACATCCTCTTACACTGAAAATTATAGTCTAGATGTTTTTCATTGCAATTTAAATTAGTCAAAACATTAATGTTTTCTAATGTGACTTACAAGGATTGCATTATGTTTTTTTAAAGGATGAATCTATCTTAATGCTGAAGAGAATACAAAATAGATTATACAAAAAGCACACCTCATGACCACAGGAATGAGATGCTAAGCATGCCACAGCCCAGTAACAGGCCATTATTGTCTATCAGAAGATAAGGGTGTAGATGGAAAATGGGAAACTCAAAGTCAGAGTTGATGGGAGATCAGGTAAACCTAAAAAAATAATCCTTGAAGAAGTAGTTGAAGCTAACCTAGGCTGAACTTCCAAAATCAAATAAAACCTGAAAGTTCATGGATGCATTTTTTGAGATTAGCAGACTCAAAAATATTTTTCCAATTAATTCTAGCAGAAAATATTGTTTATTTTGGGCAACTCTATACGTATAATTTTCACACATAAATGTGATGTTTTCCAGGAGGCAAAACTTCAAATATTTATTGTTACATTTAGGATAACAGACTAAACAATTCAAAAGCAAGATGCAGAAGCACCCAAATAATTATCAAACCAAGATATCTTACTTGGTGATATTATTTTTTTCAAGTAATGAATATGTGAATCCAGTAGATAAATGAAGTACTCTGAAAATAAACAAAGTTCATACATTTCTTAATTAATACCTCACAATCTCCTAGAGGTATAATAATGGAATTCAAGTACACAGTGAAAGATACAAAACCATTGCCCATTTTCCTCTTTAATGAAATAATACTTTTTTGTGATAAGAAGATATACTGAGATTTCTTTCAAAACTATTATTCCATCTCACAATTTTATAAAGTTTAATTTAGTATTTGATGGATCACTGTCCTTGAAGAAAATTTGCCATGAGGCCTTTTCAAAGGTTGAAATGGCATAAATTGATACAAAAAAACCTCTGGATGTTGAGGGAATGAAAACCTCAGAGGGTTCAAATTAATCTTTTTATTTCTGGAAATGTAAGTAACATGCTCATTATAAAAGTAATATATGTTCCTTATGTAGAAAAATATTTTAAAATTAAAATTATCATAATTACTGTTATTTAATCACAACAAATTTCAATGAATTTGATCTCAAGAGTTCAACTAATGCCTTTGTTTACATATGAGGAAACAGACCTTAGATAGAGGTAAACTATTTTCTAAAGATATAAAAAGCTGCTGATTAGCAAAGATAGAACTATGTGTCTTGATTCTAATTTGAACCTTGGCTGCACCATCTGATCATTCTCATTCCAAACCTTCCTCTTTTGTTCACTTTAGTTTTTAGTTCCTTAAGTTTATTTTTCTGTTTCCAAAACCATAATGCCCTTTCCTTATCATTATTCTCTGTCACAAAAACCTTCTCCACCTCCAGAGCAACACACACACACACAAGCAAAGACATATATGTATGTGCATGCTCAGGCAATGGAACTCTGGGGCTGAGGTTATGTATACTTTCCATAATCAAAGACATTGTATATTTGTTAGAGGATTCAGAGAGAAAACATGAAAGCACATTGAAAACTTAAAAGACCTGTGCAGGGCTAGGGCTATAGCTCAGTGGCAGAGTTCTTGCCTAGCATGTGTGAGGCACTGGGTTCAATCCTCAGCACCACATACAAATAAGCAAATAAAATAAAGGCATTCTATACATCTACAACTACAAATTTCTTTTAATGTTTAAAAACACATATAAAAATGCTAATTATTACTCATCTCAGTACATTTTCTAAAAATGAAAAATTATTCTTAAAACTATATTGCTTCTGATACAATAACCCCCAACTCCTCTACCTAATCATAATCTGTATATAACACTGCTTTATAAATAGTTTTTTTAGAAAACCTCCTTAATGTGGTCATGTCCCTTTAAAAAATTCTATCTAATTCCTTCTACAGTGCCAAGAAATTCTTCTTCGCTATTTTTGAGATAGCAAAACATTTTTATCAAACCTCAACTCCCACATCTTTTAATACTTATTACAAAATTCAATGGTGAATACTTTAAAAATAAAAATGGAAAATCCCCCAAATCTTTAATTTTGAATTAATCATATCCAAAAATATAAAACTCAGCCTTTTACCAATTATTTAATGTTGTTTTATCTATCGTATATAGAGTTATAAAAGGGGACTGGATATTCAATGAAATTTTCCAACAGCTTCTAGTATTATGTGGTGTCCCATCCTACCAGCTGGATTTTTGTTAGCCTCCATTATCAAGGATAAGTTACTTCCAAGACCCTATTGGTGTCCAAGTCTCTGTCAATTTTAGCCAATAGGGAGAAAAAGATTTAATTATGCTTACTGGTCACCTGTATTGTCCCAAGCTTATTAGATTGTGAAAGGCAGAAAAACAAGCAGAAAGAGCAAGGGTTTGCATTCAGACAATTCTAGATTTGAATCCTAGTACTACCTCTCTCTAGCTGAGTGACCTTGAGTGAGTGGAGATAATAATAGTATTACTTCATAGGGGAGTTGTGAAGATGAAATGAGATAATATCTGATAAATACTTCATTTCATATCTGCCACTCATGTAGTGCTCCAAATATATGTTGTCTTTTGTTACCTACGTGGCTCGATGCAGATAACACTAGGATGAAATATTTCTGGAAAATTATTGGGAGAAGCCTTTCTCATTGTACCTTTAGCCTTTTTAAAATGTGGAAATAATCAATTTAGTCAATATTTTTAATTACATCAGAGAAGAAGACTCTGTCTTATTACATTATTGGTTTGTGTGAGCACAAATTCAAAGATCCAAGACTAGGAATATGGTCTAAGGATTTCATGGCTATGAAACTCCATTATCTTTTATTATCTTGCACTCATGGTTGACATGCTATGATAATTAGGCATTTTATAAAATGTGGTAAAGAAAAAAATCAGCAGTATGGAACTCAAATACTGAAATAAAAAGAAAGAAACTGCAAAACAGAAGAACAGGTATAATGACCACACCACTAATAGGAGGTCAAGAGAGAGTTGGAAAACAGGGACTCTTTCATTGGACATGTGGATTGTACCCTAAATGAAACATTAAGGAACTCTGAAACTTTTGCTGGTAGCCCAGAATGTAAACTTCCTGAATATAAGCATATGGCCAGGTTAGTTGGAATCAGCCTCAAGATACTACTTAGAAATAGTCATTCAGTTGTGGAGTGTCTAAGACAGAAGATTGAGATATGAGACCATATAACAGGAATTCTTTGCTTGAATGAATAAGGTCTCTAAGAGATCTGAGACCTGCGTGCTTCCCTGTGTGATGGGCTTGCAAGCATCTATGCAACTGAAAAAGGTGCCAAGAAAACCAATCAAAATTACTGAATATCTTATAAACCCATTTGGTTTAAACAGTCCAATGAAGGCAAAGCTAAGTAGTAGTTGGAGACTATGAGAAGGGTATTGATGTACTTGTCTTCTGCTTTTCCTGAAAACAGAACATAAGAGAAGGGACTTTACATTGTAACATGAGATTAGCCAGCAAAAGATTTAATGGCAAAAGTTGAGAGACCAAACATTTATTAAATGAATTTTTTTTGGTATTTTATGAGAGTATATGGGAGAAAACATAAACCTTAGTTACATCTTTAAATTTCTTGTAAGTGTGATGGACAAAATTTGATTTTTGTCTTCTTTTTTTCTACATTCTCTAATTAAGATCTCCTGAGACCACATGGAAATGGTAAACTTTCCTTTAAGAATATATTTATTTTTTAAAATTAAGGTAAAATTCACATGAAATAAAACTCATCACTTAAGGCATTTTAAAGTATACAATCTGGTGACTTTAGTACATTCACTATTGCACAATTGTCTAGTTTCAGAACATTTTCATTACCTCAGAAGAAGACCTTATACCCAGTAAGTGGTCATTAGCTATTGTGTTGTCTACTCAGTTCCTGACAAAACCTAACTTTCTGTAGCTATGGATTTGGAATGTATTACCTTTGAAATCTTCTGAATTCTGCATCTAATTTTTCAACTGGAAGTACTTGTATTTTTTTTTTTTTTTGTGTGTGTGTGTGTGTGTGAGAGAGAGAGAGAAAGAGAGAGAGAGAGAGAGAGAAAGAGAGAGAGAGAGAGAGAGAGAGAGAGAGAGAGAGAGAGAGCACCAGAGTGAGAGAAAGAATGAGAATGAATGTGTGAAGAGAACCCATGAGAGGAGAGTGTGCTCAGTATTCACAAAAAACTTTTCAAGGTCAAATCTATTTGCAATATTCAAACAACATGAAGACCTAGGAGGATAGACACTTTCCTGGGAACAACCTACAATTAGATGCCTGTAACTTATAGAAGGCATCTGAATTTGAATTTCTCAAGGGTCCAGTCAGTCTTAGGTTATAGAAATGCCAAACAGTTCCAGAATTTTGCCCATAACATCAAGAATGGCTTTTACATAGAAATGTGGCTGTACAGTTTCTAAGTTAGGGTAAAAAAATTCCACACCCAATAGAAGCTCTGTCTTGGAGCTATGCTTTTCCTGTAATATTTGGTGATAACCCTATTACTTTTTTTTTCTTCTTCAGAGCAGTGGAGTAGTGATTATTTTTTATTCTGCCTTTGTTCTGGTAAGAACATCAGATACAGCAGAGGAAACTGAGGGTCCAGTAGGGTAAGTGAAAATGCAACTTAAAAATAAAATAATGAAACTCCTTTTATTTCCCAACCATAAATACTTTTTAGCAATTTTAAACTAGAATATACATTTGATTCTAGCTGAACTTTTTAAAAGGTTGGTTAGCCTGTTCACAAACTTTTGAAAATGTTGAAAACAAATTGTAAAATGGACTTTCAGGCATTTTTTTTTTCTTTTTGAAAATACTTCAGGCTTGGACGGCTTTCTTAGTTATGATTACATCGACAGGAAAGTTGTGTATTTTATGTTGCAGGAAAAATACAAATTACTTTTGGAAGAAATCTTAATATTCAATTAGTCAAATGTTTCTTTAGAAGGAGGAAGAGTCAGTAGGGTCTTGTGATTTATGCAGTGCTTTGTAATCTCCAGCCAAGTTCAGGAAATTTCTGTCATTTTGCGTTTTGCATGTATTTTTAGAGGTTTTATTCCATTTTCATTTTCAACTCTTTTTCATTTCATGAGCCCCAACTAATATAATTTGATTATTCACACCTCACTGGTTTTGATGTTACAGATCTCTCTCCTCTTCCTGAAGTAGCCTTCTTACTTGCTTCATAGTAGTCTCCTGTATGTTCTTTTCACCATTCTCTCAGCTTTGTCCTCTGGGGATTTTCTAGTGATAATGGAGAACAGAAATTCCACATTACATTTTGAAGTTCATACTGACTCAGCTTCTATTTCCACAAATACTTCTCAGACAATGTTAATGGTAAATAAAGTTTTTTAACCCGCTGAAAGTTGGGTATAATACAACACTCCTTATGGCATGCAATAATTAATGTAAAGTACTTGGGGGTTCTTGTTATGGAGGCATCTGTGGCAAATGTGCAAAAAGTATCATTATCCTTTGTGCCTTACTTGAGGACCTATCAACAAATTCATTTCTAATATAAAATCGGCATAACCAGAACGACTTTACCAGTTTCCTCTTTCCTAAGTTCCTCATCTGGATGTACTTTGGTTTACTTCTCAAGGACATATGGATACATGACTTACTCTCCAACTTCAGCATGCAAGTGAAGGGAGAGAACTTGAAAGTGTGTAAAAGAAAGGAAACGAGGGCTCCAAGAGGGAAAAAGCTGTTAATAGCAGTAAACTGTAAATCCCCTATCTCTAACCTCCAGACCACATCCCAACTGAATCCAGCTGCACCCCGCCCTTAGACCTTTGGGGCTTCTGATTTCGCGTCTTGATACAGGACATATATTTATGAGTGGTTCCCTTCACTTCTAGGTGTTAGTCAGCCCGTCTGCTGGTGTTCCAAGTGTGAAATCTGGTAGGAGTTTCAATGTTTAAGATCACTCCTGGGGTTTTGGCAAGACTGATAAAGGTAAGGTAATCAACAGGCTGGTAAAAGGGGTTTATGCCCTAGGGGTTTTCACACAGCTGGAGCAAACCGAGGTCAACAGAGGCTTACACCTGGTGTTCTTTATAGTCATTCATCTGCCCCTCCAGGAGGTCAACGAAAGACTTTATCAAGACCCGGACATACCCAAGGACTTAACTGGGATAACCGGTATTCCTGGTAACTGCCTGTCCGATGCTGGGATATTTGGAGGAGAAGAGGAGAAGAGTGGCAGGGTGAGAGAGTGCAGGAGAAGAGAGGATGGTGAAGGGCTTGTTAGGGCTGCTGCCTCCTCGATTTGTCTTCAGACCGGATCTGAGCTGGGGGTAGGTCCGCCACTCTCTGCAGTACTTCACCTTTCCCGGCCTCTCTTTCGCCTCTGAAGAAGGCTGGACTCTGATCTTTGAGCCCCCTTCCTGCCCTTTGATTCTGCTGTTTTGAGGGAAGCCCCGCTCTGCTGTCCTAGGAAGGAAAAACATTCTCTGCCGCCAGGGGCCGGAATGGGAAGGCCAGGAAAGGGACTTGTGTGACAAGGGTTATATTTATTTAGATACCTATATTACAATTTATTTTCTTAAAAATAATTAAACAGAACCTCCCTGCCCCCGCCAGCTTGAGCTGTAGCTTCGTGCAATGACCTGTTGGCGGCCTTCCCTTCCCCTGGATGGCCAGGTAGCTAGTGCGGAGCCCGTCTCTCCAGCACTTGCCTCTTGGTCTGGGGCAAAACGTCTCCACGCCGCCCCCGCCGTGTCCAGGCACCTGCGTTCCGTTCCCACTCCCACGGCCACCCGGATGCCCTTCTCGCGGCTTCCCAGAGAGCGGGAAAACCTGGCGAGTGGAGCCGGCCCGAAGCGGAGGTCCCCGCAGGCTGCGCAGGTGGTTTCTGGCCAGCTGGACACTTGCGCCCCTGTGGGCGACTCCCGGGAAGGACGTGGAGGGCGGCGCAGCACACGGGGTTGGCGGGAGCTCAGCCTCGGCCGCGGAGACGCCCCGGGGTCCCTGAAGGGGAGGAGGAGGCCCTGACTGGGGCGAGGGAGCTCCGCCCCCTGCTCCGTATAAGTGCAGGGCCCGGCCTGCGGCGGCGGCGGCGGCGGCAGCGGTGGCGGTGGCTGGTGCTGGCTCAGGGTCTTCACGGCCTGTCGAGCCTCCCACCCGGTTCCATAAGGCTTTGCCTTTCCAACTTCAGCTACAGTGTTAGCTAAGTTTGGAAAGAAGGTTAAACGAAGACCCCCGGACAGTTTTTCTTTTGTTCTTTGCTACAGTAGTCGTTAGGGTCTTTTTGGACAAGGCTGTTGTGTTTTTACCGGTGCTATCTTCAGTTCCTCGCACTCCTGTAAGCACCTCACCAAGAGCAGCAGCAGCCGCTGGAGCAGTTAAAGACCCAGCTGGAGGAGAGGACCTGGTGTCATGACCAGGGCCAGAGATCAAAACCGCCGGGAAGGATGCTGTGGTGAGTTGTGTTGACCAAGTGAATATAGTGGAAACTCAGGTGGGACTTTGGAGGCAGCAACACCCGCTCAGGTTTTGGAAGAACGTGGCTTTCGTTGTTAATCAAAGTGCTTTGTAAAAGCACCTTTGATTTCTATTTTGATGGGGGTTAAATGAGAAGGCAAATTCAACGTGTGAGAAATGGGACTTGCACACCGGCAGAGGTGGAGTAGGCTGGGCAGTTTGGATTGCCTTGCGTTAAAAAAAAAAAAAAAAAAAAAAAAAAAAAAGAAGTTAAAGAATGTTGAAACAAGAGTTTCTTCACTAACTGTGAAGATAGGCAGTTGTTGACCAACAGGTCATGCTGAATTTAAGTGAATAATATTAACTAAACTAAATGCATCAGTTAGTAGGCGATTTGATAAATGTACCTGGTTTGTCTCATAGTAGTTTTAATATCATGTTTAAATAAAACAGGTATGCCTTTAACCTAAGCTCATTTGAGTGACAAAGTATGCCTTTTGTATTCTCTCTTGTGTTTATTTGCAGGATCCTTAGCAAACTACTTGACCTCAGCAAAATTCCTCCTCTACCTTGGTCATTCTCTCTCTACATGGGTAAGTAAGAATGTACAGTGATTCTTATAATATAGTTGCACAATTTCTTGTTTACTTTCATTCCAGCCTGTTGTATTAAGTCCACGTCCAGTTTTGTCATGCAGCTAAGGAAATAAATTTTCCAAAGACCGGTGTTTTAATTAAAAAGTTGTTTTCATCTAAGGTATTTCCCATGGATGTTAGTAAATGCTGTTTAATTATTGTCATATTTCATGTGGATTGTCAGCTATCCAAAGACAGGATTAACAGGTATGGAATACTTACATTATTTATATATTGTATATTGCACTACTAGGCTTGATAAATGGTAGTATCTGCTATGAAGAATGGAAAGATGTCTCATACACCTTCTGTTCTTTCACATTTTTAAGATATTCTGTTTTTTTCCTTTTGTTAAAATATAGTTCCAGCATACAGTGCTATGAAAATATAGTGGAATGGTGGAGCAATTGACTTATGCTAATCATAGAATCTTAATTCTAAGATTAATTTAAATTACATTACCCCAAGATTAAATACCTGAGCGACAAAAATTCTGGTCATTAAAGATAACAATCTGTGGTTACATTTCATGTTGGCACTGCAAGCTGTTCCAAAAAGCACCCATCTCCAGTGAAAATCAGCAGTTGATTTACAGTTTTCCCTCTGACTTCCTATGTGGTTTTGGAAGAAATCCCAGTGTTTTTGTTGGCCTGGGTTACTTTATCACTCCCTGTATCCCTGCCCCCCCCCCAAAAGAATGATCTCAGAAGGTTATTGGAATTGTGTTTAATGATTGATCATTAGAATCTTTAAAAACTTAACAATTATTCTCATGGTTTAAAAGTTATAAACCTGGATATATTCTGTACATGCCTCATAAAGAACACGAATTTTGAAAGTAAAATTTTAATGTTAATTTATTTTTAAATTGAAAACTTCTCTTGGATTATCTTTAGGACAGGAATGGAAACCATTATATGAGGAAATCTATACCCTATGCCCTTGGGAAGTTATTAAGATAGGTTATTGGCCCTCTAGGAAATTGCAGTTCATAGATGACTTGGAAAAGCAAGCTCCTATCTTTCCAGATGCTTATGCAGGGATGACTCTGCAAATTCATGTAAACAAAGTAGAATTGGTGTGAGTTTGTTTCAATTCCAGTAGCCAATGAGTCTAAGTAGAAACCTAGTGAAATAAACCTCAGTAGATCTGAACTAATAGTTTACCAATTTAATTCAATAACTATTAAGTATTTTAAGAAAGCAATAAAGGTAATGGAAATAATGTTTGAAATTCTTAGCTTCTGATCTGGACCTAACTCCTAGGGAAACAAAGTGCCTCATTTTCAAATACTGATTAAATTTAAGGTTTATGTGACCTTTGGTTGATAGATTAGATGTCAGATTTGCCAAAAACATTAACAAAGCTGTGGTTCTTCCAGGAGAGTTTCTTGTTGGGATTTTTTAAAAAAGCTTCACATGAAAGGTGGCAGATGCTTGTCCCAACCTTATAGTAAGTTGAGCAAAGGGAGTTCTTATGAGAAAGTTGGATTAAAAAAATCAGCTACAAACATGTAATGTTTAGTGAATTTAACTTCTCACTGCAAAGGAGTGCAAAAGAGGAACATTAACGCTAAGTAATTCACTTTTTGTGCTTTATCTCTTGTGTGGCACACTGTCTGATGTTATTAAAACAAAATGCATATGATTATGTATATGTGTATGCATATCTATCCATTCCCCTGCCAACCCTGCCAAATCATGATTTCCTACACATTGAACATAGGTTCCTTCAAGTAGAAGGTTATCTCAAGTTAGATTTATGTGGGATTGAATTTTTTTTTTATTTCCTATTTCATTGCTGTATGCCTATGGGTCAATACATTTTGTTCTGTGCTATTCAGAGTACAAAATAGTATAAGAAGCAGACTTTTTAAAAAGGATTTTATAATTAGGTATGGGCTTTAAAAAAAGTAATTATGAAAAAAACAGCAGAGTAAGGCAGTGAAAAGGAGGAGCCAGTTGATCACATCATGTCATGTCATTATGCGCTGTCTCCATTTATACCCTAGTGTATCTCCATTTTTCCAGTCCTCACTTCCTGTAAGTCTCACTTCTTTGGCTCACAGGCTCTCAGAAGATTCACAGAAGTTTCTCTATTTCATATAAAATGCCAGCTTCCGGCCCCATTCTATGTTATTTTTCCTCAGAGCATTTACCACCATCTGACCTGTGCTCGATTTGTCTTTGGTGTCTGCTCATTGGAATGTGAGCCACATGAAAGCATGACTGTTATTTTTGTGCACTGTTGAAGCTGCAGTGACTGCAATAGCGTGGGGTACATAGTAGCTGCCCCATAGGTATTTAATAAGTGGCTTAATGACCACAGTAATTTATTCTCTGATCCACTGGAGCAGATAGATATATAAACAAATCATCAAAGTATGATGAGAACAAGTGGGAGGGCAGAAAATGGAAGCACAGGATGAATAGGTAAGCTTGAGGGAAGAAGGGAATGGGTGGTCCTTGGTCAATGTTTACTTAGACTTTACCCAGTTATGGGTTTTTGTGAGTGTATAATCTGTTGCTTCTTAAAAACTAAATCCTTTGGAAATTGGGGTAACTAGAGCAATTTCCACTTCATCCCCCCACCCCCAGGTCCTAATCTTAATTTAATTTTGAGCTGTGGCTCAAAATTTGTTTATGATCTTTTACACCACAGTTTCTCTATCTCTGCTCTATTGATGTTTAGATCAGAAAATTTTTTCTTGTGGAGGACTGTCTTATGCATTGTAGATGTCAGTGGTATCCCCCCTCTATCTTCCTGCATTTGTGACAACCAGAATAATTCTGGACATTCACAGATCATCCCTGGAGAGTAAACTCACCCTCAGTTGAGACCTACTGGTCTACAGTGAAATTTATTGTAATTGATTTCTAGCCCATATCAGCCTAAGTTTTGAATGTTTAAGATTGTTGCCTTGGCTTTATTAAATTTTTAAAATAATTTTAATTATTTTGAAATAATCAAATATAATAATTTGCTTCCAGTACATGAAATTTATCATGAGATTCTTGACAGACTTTGGAAATGTCTAGGAATGTAACTACTTTTACATAGGGTCAAATCTGTAAGGAGCTCAGCCTGAGAATTTAGTATCCTGAAGTGATTTTGTGGAATAGGTCATGATAGAATATTGTCCTTCTTTCTGTGAACCCTGGAAGTCAGGTGTGGAGTTAAATTCTCATAATAAAGTTCCTCAAAGATTTCTTATATGTTAATCTGCCTGGTTTGCAAGTTTCTATTAAACTTATGCCACATTTTGTAGCAACAAATTCCAGAATTTCCTATGTACTCTGAACCTGTATAAAAAATATTGTTTTTCCCCATCTGTATTAAAATGTTAAAATGACTATTTACACATTTATGTGGACGTCTTTGTTTATGTGTGCCAGAATTTGATCTTACTGATTTTATCTTTCTGGTTGCTTGACAGTTTTATGATTCTGAAATAGGGCTGTTTTAAAATGTTAGAGGTAAAGAGTCATTAGAGATCACATAGTCCATTCCTATCATTTTACAAATTGGGGAACTAACTTTTTCTTTTTATCTTTTTTTAAAAATATTTTTTAGTTGTAGATGGACACAATACCTTTATTTATTTATTTTTATGTGGTGTTGAGGATCTAATCCAGGGCCTTACACATGCTAGGCGAGTGCTCTACCACTGAGCCACAACCCCAGCCCATGACTTTCTTTAACATTAAATGTATGTCAGTGTTTATGAACTGTAGTGTAATTTAGTCTGGTTCCACAGCAAACTACTTTATTGCCTCTCAAATCAAAATAGGAAAATCACATGCACACAGAGAACAGTTTCTGTGTCATCTTAGGTCTGGAAACCTCATTTTTCTGGAATAAGAATGTTTTATTAGTATCATGCTGTTTTGAATTTACTTAGTAACTGTGCAGGAATATTTTCCATTATATCAGGGTGTACAGTTTTAACATCTGACCAATATTTAATCCATAGAATAATTATTGACTTTGAAGTCTTGTGCTGTAGCCAGAAAATTGACCTTTTGATAAGAAAACAACTCCCTGAATACAATGAATTAGAAACCAAAAATATTTGATCACAACATTTTCTCCTCTTCAAGGGAGATCGGATGTGGCACTTTGCCGTGTCTGTGTTTCTGGTGGAGCTCTATGGAAACAGCCTCCTCTTGACTGCAGTCTACGGGCTGGTGGTGGCAGGATCTGTTCTGGTCCTGGGAGCCATCATTGGTGACTGGGTGGATAAGAACGCCAGACTTAAAGGTGAGTGTCCTTACACAATTAAGCCCCAGTGCCTATGGGATCAGCTCTGAGCTTCTGTAAGA